AACCCTTTTAAGTGGGGTGAAAGCGACGCATTCGTGAGAATTTATTCTCCGCATAGGCATAGCAAGTAACCTTCGGATTCATATAACTTATGTCTCGTGTGAATTTATTCACCGCATAGGCATAAGGGAATGTATCCTCTCGAGTTTAACTTAGTCCACATAAGCTTGTAATGGGCTTAGGACTAAGGGTCTGGCAAGCCCAAGGGGACACCAGCAAGGAGAACTTGAGTACTTTTCTAGAACCTAAATTGGATAATACAGGGAATTAGAGCTCATCTTAAACCTCATTACAACCCTAGGCTACTTTGTTTTTATTTTGCTTTATTTTCTGTTCAAAGTATGTGAACTAGAAATGTATGCGGTTAGGACTAGTTTAAAATTAACATGCGGGATAGAGATCATGTCTGGGTAGGAATAATAAGCATGTGTGGTAAATATCATGTGGGGTAGAATTTTTCATTTTTATTGTTTTGATTTACCTAACTAACTCTTTTTTATTTTTTATTCTCTTTCATTTTATTTTCATCACTTGCATCATTTAAAAGAGGTGTTGATCCATAAAAACTTGTTGGTTAAACATGAATAATATGTATTAATGGACAAAGGGGTTGTAATACAAGAGATAAAAATGCAGAGGACAGTCTACAAGGCGACTATGTGTCACATTCAATCCAGAAAATGTGGTGCCCACAATTGAAGAGTATATCACTCTACTGCATTATAAAGGACTCAGAATGAACCGGGTCTACATCAAGCACAATGAAAGTCTATCTTTGAAGAATTGACTGGCAGAGGTTGCAGGGGTAAGATGAATGCACTGATCTGGAGTCCCTTCAAAGACAACAATGACAAAACGATAGCTGAAATTGGAGACCATTACTGACGAATTCAAGAAACATAGTTCTTAACTTCTTATCAATTGAGGGCTCCAATGATGTATTCGTTGGGCACGTGTTCAACAAAAGATAAATTCCAGAAATGCAGTCATTCGAGACTTCTTGGGCTAGTACAAAAAGTAACTCAACATTTGCACGGTCCATCCAGAGAAGCCAAAGCGGTTCGACAGGTTATTCAACCGGTGGCAGACGAAGGCAGAAGACTAGTCAACATGTCAGAAGCTGTCAGAATATTTTTGTCTCTTAAAAGATAAAACACTTTTGTCCCCAATAAGGATTATTAATAACATACACATTTTTGATCAATACCTCGAACATTACATGCATGCATTCCTGCATATTTCGCATTATTTTTCTCTTTTTTATTACATTCACATGTCTCATAAAAAATGGGAACATTTTGATTCTATTCCCAGGATTTACAAGGAACTTTACAAACAACTTGTGAACCCATGTCACCATATCCGGTGGAACCCATGAAGCCCCCATACCCCAAGTGGTATGACGAGAATGCTCATTGCGAATGCGGTGTCCCAAAGCACACTATCAAGAACTGCTTCACTTTCAAGAGAATCGTGGAGAAGATGCGTAACAAGAATCGAATTGACTTCAACAACTTGGGGGCATCCAAGTGAAGAAGATCATTTCATCATTTGAGGCATTTTGTTTGAATTTGTTTTTTTTTCATTTTTTTCTCAAGTTTTTTGTAAAGACATTTGAATAAATTTATGTTACTTTAATGATGATGAGGCAATGAATCATTTGTAAACTTGCAATTCTGCAATTCTTTGAATATCTTTGAATTAAAAACTCTGTAAATGGTTAAAGTTGCAGATCTTTGACGAAGAAACATGATTTAAAACAAGGACTTTGACCTTACTCAGAATATACCCTCAGACATCATACCCTGCTCTTGCAATTAACCAATGTAACATTTTCCTTTCATAAGGTGCGGACAATATGGGACATCATTTGCATATGACAATTACTATACTTTTTGTTTAAGACGTTCAGTGATGATCATGATCTTTACAGATGAAATAGTCGAGTAGGTGAATCTAGTTTAGGTCAGTTGCTTGAAAATTGAACTCTAAAGATGAATTTTTTTTACTTTCAACAACACCTAGACTATAATAGGTTCTTCTTGACAATCTTAAGAAATTAAATCCGCAAAAACTGAGCTATTCTGCTAAGGCAATTGGTTATAGAGGAAATTTGAAAGCCGTGGTCTTATGAGTAGATTACGTTCAAACCATGATATTGCTCGAACACTTGGCAATTCGGTGTTTGCTCCACTGTTATTGTCCGGCCGAAGACTTTGTGATGAGATGAACCCTTCAGTTAACTTGATAAAACTAATTATAATGTTAAGTTGTCCCTCTAAAGCAATTGGTTAAACGCCCCGACTTTATGGATTCAGCTAGCCAGATAATGGCAAATTAAATCAAATTTATCTAAGTAAAAAGTTTCGTTAAATAGACTAAGGGAGTTAAGGAACACCTGTTATAGTCAAATTCACACGAGCACTCAAGAATTCATTTTTAGACCGATACTTTTGCACTACCTTAGTTAGAGGAACTTACAAAACTTGAACAAATGGAAGATTTCAGAGAATCGAAAAAAAAGGTCTAGTAATTGATCATGCTAGTTGTGTCATTTTGTCCGCACCCAATTAAAATGCCAAACCAAAAAACATGATGCAATATTTAAAAAATGACATTTTGGGTGACCGAAACCTTAGAAAGGAGGCCAACGTAGAGCCAATTCATCCATTTGAACATTTGTCAAAGAGTTGTAACTCTGAAAGCGTTAAAAGAGCTATTGATTCCTTTGATATCTTTGAACACACGTTTATAATTGATTCAATTGCGAACAATATTTTACATAATTTTTATCTTTTTCCCTCCTAAAACAAAAAAAATGAGGAAAATATTTTCAAACAGAACATGCTCAAATATGAAAGGTCTATAAAGCCAAAGCTCAAGAGACAAATGGAGCATGATCGATTCCATGGACCAGATTGTCAGGCAAAGCATGAGACTCCAATCCAAGAGATATAACATAAATCATTCATGTCGCATGCATCTTAGGTATACTTAGAGCATCAGATTTATCATTTTTAGCACATAATTTTTTTTACAGCTTTTAGAGTCAAATTTCAACTTCAAGATGAAAGATACTACATTCAAAAGTTGATGGTGGTTTTTGACCTCACAACGAAGGGGCGATTGTCTGACGACAAAACAACTTTCTGAGTCTCGTTCAGAGTCAATTTCAACTTCACAGCGAAAGATATTGAACTCAAAGCGACACAATTTGTTTGAAATAGGATTTCAACTCCACTCAAAACCAACTTTCTCGAGATTGGATTTCAACTTCACAACGAAGGATATCCAACTCAAAACAATATACAATATTTGGATTTCAACTTCACGGCGAAGGATATTCAAGTCAAGGCTCAACTTCACGACGAAGGGATCATCCACGATTTCAACTCCACGACGGAGGATATCGTACATACACATCCACGATTTCAACTCCACGACGGAGGATATCGTGCCATTTGATGCTCAACTTCACGACGAAGGGGCTTCCCATTTTCAGAACCAATTTCAACTTCACGGAAGAGGATATTGGACTCGAAATAATGCAACTTGGATTTCAACTTCACGACGAAGGATATCCAATTCCAGGCTCAACACGCGAAGGGAATCACACAAGAAGCATCCATCTTTAGATTGGATTTCAACTTCACGACGAAGGATATCCAACTCAAAGAAGGAGTGTATGTGAACAAACTTTCCAGTTTAAGAGTCAATTTCAACTTCATAGCGAAGGATTGCCTTGGAACAATGCAACTTACATTGGATTTCAACTTCACGACGAAGGATATCCAATTCAAGGCTCAACTTCACAACGAATGGGCCATCCGGGTCTCAACTTCATGACGAAGGGAATGTACCCACCAGCAACATTCATCTTCAAGAACAAGCAAATTATCGATCGCCTTTGAGATTATTCTCTCGAAACAAGGGGTCATCTCGCTTGAGACTAATTCCTCAAAACAAAGTTTGTCTCTCTTGAGACAGCTTCCCTTGAACAAATCTTTGAATATATTTCCCTTGAGACAGTTTCTTTTTGGAATTAAGTTTGTCTCTCTTGAGATAGTTTCTCTTGAAACAAAGTTTTGTCTCTCTTGAGACGGTTTCTCTTGAAAAAAACCTTTGAAAATGTTTCTCTTGAAACACCCTTTGGGTTCGACTACGCTCAGCTCAAAGACATCATTTGCAGTATAGCTTAATCGAGAAGGGCTATCTGCCACCAAAAAACTGACGAGTTCCATTTCATTCAGCTCGATGACAGCGAAGAACTACTTTCTGGAAGAATTTTCAAGCCGAAATCTTTAAACCAAGAAAAAGACAAATGCTCAATTCCAGGAAGCCCAATCACATTTGAGAGGACCAGACAAAAACTGATTGTCTTTTTTTTCGTCTTTACCCTATTTTTGTTAACACAAAAATGTGCAAAGAGGGACAACTGTAGACATCCATTTTTGACCGAACTTAATATATATATATATATATATATTATAATAATTATTTGTTATTAATTATTATTATTATATTATTAATATTATTTTTTGCAGGTTTTTTTCAACAAACCACTACCCACCTATCCATTCCACTCCTCTCCACTAAACCCACTAAATTACTTTTGCTTTACCACTTGTCACACAACTTTTCCCCTTTAAAAACCCATTACTCTCACTCTTAAGGGGGGACGGACACAAAAACGAAAAAAGGAATGGAAGGAAAGAGAAAAAGAGGTGTTATGGCCTCTCGACCATGGCACGAAACCACCAAGCACATCCAGTCTCATCCTCTCTTGCCTGTCGCGCCTTGCTTGCTTGATTCCTCAACCCACGGCTAAGCCGACAACCACTAAATTAACCCACACCAAATACTGTTGTGAAGTGAGTTAACCAACCGAACTGATCGAACAAAGTTGGTTCAGATTTTTTTCAAGGGCTTTGAAAATCAAAATGGAAGTAGAAATGCAGAACAAGTGAATCTGAAAGAAGAAGCATAAAGGGATTTCAACAACATGTGCAGGCTCTTCGGGGTTCGGAACATCATGAAGCTCATCGAGAATATTAGCTTTCGGCAGCGGGTCATCGCCTTGAAGATCATCGTTTTCCAATCCAATATGAGGGTGTTTGATCCGGTGGGCGGTTGTTGTAAGTACATACTCGATTTGAACATGCAGATCGCTCGATACCGGGCCGAGCTTGACCTCGTGAACCAACAACTAACCGTTTGTAAAGCGCCGTCGTCGATGTTTGCTCAACCGCAACCGGTGCAGAAACAAAAGCAAGTGGTGGCGGTGGAAAACGGCGGTTTTTATGTATTCGGTTCGATTAGTGCGGTGGGTCGTCGTCTTTGATGTGTGCTCACCATGTGTTTGGTTCTAATCCTGTTAAAGTTGAAGCGGAGGCAGTTCCCAATGGAATTTCATCGTGTAAACAACAAAAAATAAAGCCATTGTCTACTGATAAATGAGATGAAGAGTTTTGTTTCGATTCAGATGGGGAGAGTTCTGCGAAATGAATCTGCTCCAGAGGAGATTCATCCTTCACAGGGCTCTGAGGCTCGAAATGAGCGACACTAAGAAGAAAAAAGAGCCATGATGCTTGTAGAAATTATTTATCAGGTAACAATATTTGTGATGTATTTATCGGTCTGGTTTTGTTTTGCTTGGTTACTAGTATGTTGTAGGCATTGGATTTAGATTTAAGAAAGCTGCTGTAATGCTTTCTGCCATGTTATCTAAACAACCCAAATATGTCATTTTCATTGCTTATTGTAACCACGTGTAAGTTGTCTTGACTTTTGTTAATTTTAATGGTAACCACGTGTATATGGTTATCATTTTTTGTTTTTTATTTTATTATTTAATATTATTAATATATTTTTTCATATTTGTTTTTATTTTATAATCTGACAATATTTTTAATTTTAGGGATACTTTTTAACTAATCAAAGGTAAGTAATTATTCGGACTGAATTTTTAAATTTCAATTTAAATTCGAATTTTCGCAATTAAAGACAATCGGTAAATTAATTAGTACCGAAAGTAGTTTTAAGGGTACTAATCCTTCCTTGACCGTAACTGACTTCCGAACCCGACACATTTAAGGAAAAATGCAGGTCAGGTAAGATGTCCGACCCACCTAAATTCGTTTTAAAATGATCGGGCGACTATAACCTAATTCATTCAAGTCAAAGCTTAATTTCGGATCCACCCAAAAGACAGTCGCGACACTTTTTAACCAAATCGATAAAAATAATGTCATTTTTCAAAATTTTAGGAGAAAATAAAATGCACATTATTATTTATTAATGAAAGAGGACCACAGACTAATCAATTATTTAAAATATTGGGACCTAGCCCCTGGCATAAGTCAAACGATGTGGTCTCTACAATTTAAATAGATTAACATACCATTTTTCTTTATTATGATTAATGATGACCTTATTAAATTTTAGGTGACCACTGAAAAAATATTTATTATTTAATAATATCAAAATCGAATGTCTAGTTATATTAAGATTGTTATCTTTCATTATTAAGAAATAAACAAATTTTTATTTAATTCAATTACGAGTTTAATAATGTGTTTCTAACGACAAGATTAAAAAGAATTAAAATCTAAAGGTTTCTACCTATGGTTAAGAACATTGCTAAATTAAAAGAATTTAAAGCTAATGTCTAAATTTGGGCATTAGAAAAATTTTATAAAAAATCAACATTAAAATATAGTAAAATCAGGATCAAATTGCATTTCAATGGAGACCCGAGTACACAATTCATGAATATATAATGCCCAAAATAGAATAAATAGAAAAAAGGCTAGCTCTATAAACTTCTAAAGTTACGTTTCCTAATTAACCCAAAAATCCTATCAACACTGAAGCCCTAGTATCTCAGCATGTGATTCCCTTTGTCCCTCATGGGTTCTTCCATTTTCAACCTTCTTGATCTTTCACAAACAAAATAAAATGCCCACAAAGTGTTTTTTTCGAATTAAACTCTCAAAGAAACTCAAAATTTCCTCTGTAGACACTAATTTTTTTCTGATTTTATTTTAATATTATTATTATATTAATATTATTAATATTATTATTATTATTATTATCATCATTATTAAATAATAAATATTTTTAAATACATATTACAGGCCCATTACAAAAATCCGGAGGTCCAGACCCAATCCAAAACCAGTTCAGGCCCAGAATTTAGATTCCAACCCTAAATCTATTTAGGGTTCCTACTAGGATTTCTAATCCCTATCTTCAGCCGTCGCCTTCAACGTCAGGTGCCTATCTCCAGTGCCACCACGCCGCCTCTGCCTCGCCAGAAGCCTCCAAAAGAAGCCAGGACGCCGCACACATTGCAGCTCTAAGGTGAGTCACCACCATAGTTCAGTGACTCACCGAGGGCTACCCTTGTGACCGGTCTGAAAGGAGCATCTATGAGGCTTATAAAAGCCATCCACTGAACCTGTAAAATAGGGACACCCAACATCAACACTGAACTGAAACGAAGCACGACAAAAAACACGAACACAACAACAAGCAAGAAACACAACCGAACAGTTCAAACAATAAGAGAAAATCGAAAGAAAGGCGAAGGAGAGAAGAACTTACCCTCTGAGAGCCCAAACGTCACTGGAAATCTTTGTTAACTGAAGGTAAAATCTTCTGTTATTTTTTTAGATCTCGAGTAATCTAGCCGTTTTAGGAAGAAATAAGGTAGGATTTGGCTTCAGGGGAAACAAATCTTCGATTTGGGCTAATTTTCCAAATTTTGACCACCGTTTTTGGGATGGACCCTTTGTGTAATTTTGGGAATGGGTTAATACTGCCTGTAGTACCTTTATTTTTGTATCTTTTCAATTTGGTCACTAAAATCAAGTTTCAATATCTTATAATTTTTTATTTGAATTTTATTTTATCATATTTTAGTCCTTACCAGTATATTTATATATTTAAGGTAAAATAACCTATTTAGCCCCTATAATTTTAATACTTTTTGTTTTGATCCCGAATTAATTAATTATGGTTAAATTACACTGTTAATCACTATATTTCATAATATTTCGAATTAGGGCCTTTAACTTTGATATTTTAATCCTGATGTTCTAAATAATTTTTATTTTAGACCATTAATTTTATTACTTCTTAATTTAATCCTATATTTTTAAATTCGGTCACTGTTTAATTGCAATTTTATTTTATTTTATTAGTACCCCTTTAGTTTCAATAGTTTTAATTTAGTACTTTAATCCTTTATTTTATTTTTATTTTATTCATACAAATATATATATGAAAGGATAATATTTATTTTTTAATATTAAGAAAGGGGTTCTCTTAAAGTAACTAGATGTCCTTTTCTGATATCTTTAAATAAATAAATACCCTATTTATAAAACCCTATATATATATATTTACTTTAGTTTTATAAAAATTATTTTTGTTCTATTTGTCCTTAAAATTTTCTATAATTGAATCTGAAATAATAAGTTCATAAATTACATTTATATTAAAATTCTTAAATTTCTACTAATAGAGACAATTTATAATCGAAAGGTACCAATTTTGGGCATTATAGGGGTGTTAATCCTTCCCTAATCGTAACCGACCACGAATCCCTTTTTATTACTAAAAAGAATGAATTTTTGGTTAAACGCAAACATGTTTATCTTTTAACTGATGTTTTCTTAAAAACTCTCTTAAAAGGTGATTTTGAGGTATTCGACCTACCTAACCCAAAAAGGTCGATGGCGACTCCAAAATATTTCAATAAAAACCATTTATTTATTCACTTACTTTTTCCACCAAGGAAATTCGTACCCGGGCGAAAACCGGTTACGACAGCTTGGTGACTCCGTTTGGGATCCTGGTCAAACCTAAATCGATTATATAGTCTCTATAATTAGAAATTGAGAATTCAATTTTATTTAATTTATGATTCTTTTGATTTCTTTCAATTTATTTTATACTCTTGTATATTAATATTTTATTGATTTTCAGATATTAGGATTCATTTGTTTAAAATAGTTGTTTGTCAAAGTTTTGAGAATTTCTCCTCACACACAACACTTGCATTGCATAACCTAAGCTCTATACTAGAGCTCTTTTCCCTTTTAAGTGAGAGTGAAAGCGACGTCTTCGTGAGAATTTATTCTCCGTGTCAGACCCAACAAGTAGCTTTCGGGGTTCATATGCTCTATGTTTTCGTTAGAATTTATTCTCCGTGTTAGGCATAAGGAAATGTGTCCCCTAGTATTGAACTCGATCTGCTTAAGTCTATAATGGACTAGGATTGATGGTTTGGTAGCCCAAGGGGTACTAACAAGGACAATTCGAGTACCCTTACTCATAGAACCGAAACCATGCATATAATAAATCCTAGAAATTCACTTGATCTAAGACAATGCTGAAACTCTGTCTGTAGGTGTACACAAAGGAGAAATAAGCTCTAGCTTTTAATTTATTTGATTTTTTTCTCAATAAATGCATGCGAACTAGTAATCATGCAGTTAGGTTTTTTTCCAAATAAAGCATGGAACTAGAAAGCATGAGGTTAGAATTTATATATAGAAACCATGATAGATAGAATCTTTTCTTTCCATTAATTGGTACTAACCATTTTATTTTATTCTTATTTTCATCTATTTTGTAGATACATTTTATTTTGCTTTAACTTGTTTATAGTGATTTCTTTTGTTTGCATTGCATGATCATTCATGATTAGAAGGAATTGATTTGAGAGTGGACATCAAATTGAAAAGTTTTCATATATGAACAAAAAGTTTTATGATCAAGCAAACTATGACGCATCCAAGGAATGACATCCTGAGGGAACTCCGAGGGTAGAGGAGAATTATGCATCCAAAGATTGTATGCCAGTTGAAGATCAAAAAGAGATACGATAAATAAAAGAGTAAATGTCCAAGATGATGGGTATAATATCTGTTTTGGCCAAAGGAAAAAAGATTCCTGCACAAAAAGAGAGAGAGCTCAATGAACATAATCCTGCAATCTCAGATATACAAGGGACTTTGGATCCTAACCAATTTGAGAAACTACATATAGTCATAATTTGTATTCACAAATTGTCTGGAGATACCCAGGAAATGGTGACAACTGTAAAAGATCCCAGAGATGAGAAGAAATTATGTAATTTGAAATCGTCGAGTTTTAGTCTACTCCTGATGTCGGAAACTCAGGTTCAATCCAAGACGAAATGTGGTTCTCATTTTGATGTTATCCCTATATCATATAAGGAGTTGTACGAGAAGCTACTTGAAGCACGAGAAGCGGCTCCGCATTATGTGAAACCGTTGCAACCTCCGTATCCGAATTGGTATTGTAATACCCAAAAAATTTAGATAATGACTAAAATGCAAATTTTGAAAGTTTGATGGTCAAAGTAGAAAATTAGGAAAAGTTTAAGGAATTAAGTGGGGATTTTCCCAAAAAGAATGTTATTCCATAAATGGATTTATTTAGTGACCAAACTATACATTTGGTAAAGTTTGGTGACTAAAGTATAAACTTTAAAAAGTTTAAGGACTAAAATATAATTTTAAAAAGTTACAAATG